GACCGTTGGGTCAAGGGGTAGGTTCATGAGTTTAAGGGAAAATTGGGATTTTTTCCTGATATGTTCATTCGATATTGTACAAGGATGAACTCAGACAAGGTCTTTTAAAACGAAGTAGCTGTTAAGTTTGTTCAGAGTGGTCATGTCTGTATTTTCTTCAAAGGTAATAGTTGCTTGCTGCCATAAATTTTTAGTAAACATTGTACATTTGGTGATCTTCCCGAAAAAGGAAAATGTGGATCTTAAATTTGATTCTGTAGTAGAGATCGGGATCTCAGTTACTCTGATCAATAATTCTGAAATGTATTTTGTGGCTGGTTTGGTGATCAGGGGTGAAAACGTGTTATTATCTAAACAAGGAATTTTGAGGGTGACTGCATAATTGGCTTCATCGCACGAGGTAAATCCAATTCGAACAATTTTTTTGTTAGGGTCATCGGGGTGAGTGCGCACTGATGCACCAATGAAAGAGGCATAATATGATGCGAATATGTCACACGCCTCATTTTGTTTTTCTCGATTAGTTTTGGTTGGAAAGAAGCGATCGGCGGCGCAGTAGACAAAGTAGATTGGGGCTTCCGTTTCTCGTTCAAGGTGGATACCGCTAGCTTTATTTTTGTCATTATCAGGCCATTTTCAGTAGCGTCAAAAGCTTGGTCAATATCTATCAGGACTTTTGGAGAAGACGAGGATGTTTCAGGTATTTTTCCTTTATCGCTAAGTGAACGAGCGGTCGTATCAAGTTCCATGTCGGAAGACGCGACATTTTCTGGAATATCTTTTGAAGACGAAGCTTCAGTTGCTTGAGGAAGTTCAATAAACTGTTTCTTAGCAGGTCGTTGCTGTTGGTCGTTGTTAGGGGAAGAAGAGCGAGTCTTGTTAGACTTGTTGTTGTTATTGTTTCCATTTTTTTTTCCGGTCATATTGAAATTGGGGATCAGCGGAAAGAGTTTTTATTATATGTTATTGTCAAACTAAATCTGGAATATTGGATGGATAAACAATTTTTTATAGATGGACCAATTGTTTGCATTGCCAATATAATATGTAACGGTAATACTTTTACTTTATTAAGAATCAAAATGTTGTGGAATATTAAACGATCAAAACAAGCAATATAGAATACGTTAACATTTCATTTTCCGATAAAATCTAATTTTAATTTTTGTCATAGGTTCCTTAAATCATTTCGTTGCGTTGTATTTTTTTTTTTTTTTTTTTTTAAAAAAAAAATGTCCTCTTCAAAGAATGATATTAGAGTTGTTGTCGGAATTGGTAGGTAATTAAAACATTGGTTGGTTCATTGATTATATATTTAACATGCTTCAAATCATATCTTAGTCACTAAATTTTTTAATATCGTCTCTTTCTAGACTTTGGTACAACCTATTCAGTATGTGTCTAATTAATGAAAAAGTCTTCTTGATAGTACATAATTTCTTAACTTTATTAAATAATCTCCGTCCATTTAGGGATACGCATATGCTCACAAATCTAGTCCAAATGAAATCTCTGCAGAAGATAAATGGTCAGGTTTCCCGGATTATAAAACTCCAACCGTCATAAAATATGAAGACGAATCTTACACTAATGTAAAATCTTGGGGATTTAAAGCATTTGCAGACCGACCAAAAAAAAAAAAAAATGCTGATCAATCTATACCTATAGAACTATTTAAATTATTTTTATTTAAAAATTCTTCTATGGAAAAACCTTATTTACCCGAGAATTTGGACTATAAGAACGTTATTACGGATTATTTGAAAGAATTATGTAAGATGGTTAAAGAAAGCGTGAATTCTCATTGGCATAATTTGGAATTTTATACTAAAGTGTTGATTGTACTTACAGTATGTTTAATAGTATTTATTATCGTATTGAATTTCGGTATTATCATGCGATTTTTCTGATTATTATTATTGTTTTCTTTAAAAAAAAAAAAAAAGATTCCGGCAGAATTTGATGATGATGCGATTGCGATAATGCGCGAGTGTGCTTTTCACGCGGGATTAGTGAATGAGAAAAACAGTAGGAATCTGATATTTACTACAGAACGTAGGTACAAAGTTTTTTTTTTTTTTTTGCGAAGGAAATATATGTATATATATATATTTTAACATAATTAAATTGAAATTGAAATTGAAATTAACTTTGTATCAAAAATCAGCTGAAGCTGCTGCGGTATATTGTTTGAATTCTTTGGAAAAAGTACATAATTTGAAACCTGGAGGTTTGTAAGAAATCTCTTTAACATATTCTGACCATTTTATAATTATTTTTAATAAAACGTGGTTAATTTTACAGATTCATTTATGGTTGTGGATTGTGGGGGTGGCACGGTGGATTTGACAAGACATGAATTATTGCAAAATAGCAGGTTAAGTGAAATAACAGAACGTTCCGGTAAAAATTGTGGATCAAGCTTTATAGATAAAAAATTTATAGAATTTATTGGTACTAAATTAGGAAAATCAGTTGAATTGTTGAAAAAAAAGCATTATAGTTCCATACAATATATGGTACAAGAGTTTTGCAGACGTGTAAAGATTCCTTTTACAGGGCACAAAAATGAGTTTCAACGTTACGAGATAGATTTGGAAGATTATCACTTGTTAAAAGAAATTGTCGAAGGAAAAGAAAAACGATTATTAGAAAAAGATGATTGGCTAATATATGTTGAATTTAATGATGTTAAAACAATGTTTGACCCTATTGTAGGAGATATCATTACATTGATAAAGGACCAACTTAAAAAAAATGATAAAAAATGTTCTGCAATTATGCTAGTTGGAGGATTTGGTGAATCTAAATATTTGCAAGATAGAATTAGAAAAGAATTTAACAAAACTGTACCAAATATCTCTGTACCGACACAGCCGATTATTGCAGTCGTAAAAGGAGCCGTTCAATTTGGGCTCCAAGTAGAAATCGTGGCAAATCGCGTTTTAACACGAACATATGGTGCGTTAATTTCTTCAATTCTTTTAAATACCTAGTAAATATGCTTTTTAATGCTTTTTGTTACATTTATAGGAACGGATATTGCACGACGTTCATTACCAAATGATCCACCTTCACAAAAACTTCCAAATGGATATACAATAATTTTTGAAGCGCTTGCAAGGCGTGGTAAACAAATTTCACCAAATGATAAAGTCATTAAACAATTTAAACCATATTCGTTAACGCAACCTAATATTGGTTTCGATATGTATGTTACAAAGGAACATGACGCAAAATTTTGTGATGATCCTGGTGTTAGTTTACTTCGTGATTGGGAAATCAAATTACCTGAAATTGATAATTATGATGATGATACAACTATTTTATTAACTTTAACTTTTGGTATGATAGAAATAACAGCTACTGCTGAAAATCAAAATACTGGTGAAAAATATCAAGTCAAATTGAAATACGAATAATTTCAAATTTCTTTATTTTTTTTATAAATATTTCACATTTCGAATGTATTTGTTTATTAAATTTTTCTTGTATTAATTGGAATTGGATTAGTCTGAATAAATATTAGTTGTCGTTGACTTACCACCCCAACGATATGTCATTAAGATCGATTTTTCCTTCTGCTAATTGCGTAAAAAATAATAATAATAATTAATTGATTAATAAAGGAGATAAAATACCGCTTAATTACTTAAACTAAATAATTTTGCGCGGGAAAATTTTCTTAAACTGATTCAATTTAGTAAACATTACCCTACCCCTACGATATTTGTTATTGCATTTATTTGAAATGTATCAACGAATTTCCTTTGAATTAAATCCATTCATTAAGTAATGCACTTATCCTTAAATTTCTAATCAAAATTCAATAATCGAATTCGATTATTTAATAAGTGTCTATTTTTACCAACATATCGAATATTAATTAGTGATATCGACACGAAACTTATTTGAGCCGAAATCAAATCACAAAACCAAGGTTTAGTATAAAAATGTTGTAGCATGCTTTATATTGATTACGTATTGAACGTTTCCAGCGCAAAAGGTTTTGGCATTACAAACTATGTAGAAAATATTTGAATTAAAAAAAACTGGGATTTCGATGAAGCTTTTCGCGTATTCATATTATAATTAGGTTTATAGTTACTCATTCCACAAAAAATTTCGATCATTGGTCGTGTTATTTAGTCACCTATTCTAATAAATTTTAAACAAATACCGTACATTATGAGATAATCTAAACTCTAACTAATTTAAGCCTTTAAGAATTGCAAAAGATTTAGGCCGACTTCAAGAACTTAATGCAACATCAAGTTTCATGTGAAAAAAAATGAATAAATACTATCTGGTTGGAAATTGAGGACGTTCAGAACAGGCGAGAAGAAATAATAGAATTTTTTTTTATTACGGTAGCTTATTTGATGATGAAAAGTTAACTTGTTGTTCTAATCTTCATCATTTTCCAAGAAAACACGAATAATGTTCTTTAACAGTAAAAATTAAAGACTTTGAACCGATTTTAGATTGGCCAAAATAAGTTAATTGAGTTTTATAACTCGCTTGTACTGAAACAGAAATTTAAGCATTACAACGCGAAAAAAGATGATTCTACTTATTTTTCATATTAACAAATAAAATAAAATAAAATTGACAAACTTATATCTTTATTTCCAGGTTATCTGATGACATTTGTTTGAATTGATTTATTTATATAATTGTTAAATTTTGCATTGAATAGATGAGCATTTAAATTATTCAGAACACCTATTCCTTAAAGAAAACACGGTGACTCTTAAAGTTAATTTCTTGTTCTACAAACTAAACTGTTAGGATAATTTTTCCGGAATGCATTACTTTCCCTTGCAACGAACACTATTTATTGTCTATTTATCACTTGAGCAATTCGCAAAAAAAAAAAAAAAAATTAAACTTAGTTGATTTTTAACTCTCCATTTTTTTTTTATAGAAATATAAAGTTTTAAATACAAATAAAGCAACATTATAAAATTTATCGGATATAAACTATCAAAACGAAATAATTAATCTTCTAAGTTATACTTAAAAGTGGTTCTATAACTTTGTCCAGTCAGTTTGTTCTTTGAAGTTGCAACAAATTCCATTTGTCCAAAAGTCAATCCAAATAATACAGGTCTATTGAGACCTGAGCCAGGGAGATCTGCATGAAGTTTTCCTAGAAGTTTCATGCCGGGGTCATCACAGTATATTCCATCATATTCTCGAGTATAATATATGTAATGGGTTACTTTAGTTTGATTAGGATAAATAGGTACACGAGATCTCGTAATCTCTTGATTAACATTCATTTTAGTACCACGTCGAGCCAAAAGGCTGAACTTGGAGATATATCCATCATGGGTCCTTCTGCTTACTGGATCTCCATTTACCTAATAATAAACGGATTTTTATTCTTAATTAATTCTAGGAATATACAATAAGTAGTATAAAAAAAAAATAATAATAATAAAACTTACCCATTTATATCTTGATTTGATTCCATAAGTATATTTAAGGACTCTTGAAGAAATGATACATTTCAAATTATCATCATCCCCTATATTATTCAGATTATTTGATTTTATAGACAATCCATAAATTACTGCTCCACGTGCAATTGCTGCCATAGGTTGAATAGGGACCGAAATATTATTTACTCGATGAAGAAATTCTTGTTTAATTCTGTTTTGTAAATATCTTGATTCACTAAAACCTCCAACTAAGAACATTGCTGAGCAAGTTTCTTGAGCGTTATCTAGTTGAGCTTTTATCATAAGAAGAATTTTTTGGATGACAGGTTCAAATATCAATTTCATGGTTTCAAAATCAATTTCGACTACCCAGTCGTCTAAAGTGTTTATGATATTCTCATCAGTGATATATTGTTTTAACACAGGGACAGTATCCTGAATATCCAACTCGTACAGGAAATTTGGATCATCTCCCGTAAAAGGAATTTTGCCAGATTTACAAAAATGTTGAATCAGATATTGCATTTGTCCATAATGTTTCTCTTTAAGTGAATCCATAGGCTTGTCTCCGAGCTTTTTCCGTAAATATTTAATAAATTCGGTATCGATAAAAGTACTTCCACAAAAGTCACCGGTTCTCTCAGTTATTTCACCCAGTTCTTCTTCATTTATGAATTTACGAGTCGTCAAATCTACCGTGCCACCGCCACAGTCGACAATCATGAAATTGGCTAATGCATTTAAATGATTTAATAAATGAGTCAAAATATTTAAAACAAAATAACTTTCGAACAAAACATACTTCCTGGTTGTGTAAGACCCTGTTCTATTTTTCATGCAATATACAGCTGCAGCCTCGGCTTAAAATAAAGAAATACGTAAATCAGTTGTTTGAAATAAATTATAAAACTGTATAGGGTACTCACGTTCCGTAGTGAATTGCAGGTTCTTCGAACATTCGTCTTTAGTTAACCCAGCATCATATACACACATTCTCATAATTGCCTTTGTCTTTTCGGAAAATTCTGCAGGAACGGTAAGAACCAAAAGAACATGTTCAAAGAAATCGATTTTTGGCCAACGAATTGATATTGTCTCTTTAATTACCTTTTAAAGAAAATAAATTCATATTGTATGTAAAAATTTAAATACGCGATATCAAATCCAATATACATACCTTTCCGATTTCTCTGATATAATCAGTAATCGCCTTTTTATAATCAACTGAAAGTTTCGGTTTAAAATTATCCAATATATTTTCCAAATGCAGCTTGAACAATTCGACCGGTTTATTTTCATTATTTCGATTTCTATCTCGACGATTTGGCTTCTTAACTAAAGCCGGAGCACCCCATGACCTTACATTATTATATTCATCGTCATATTGAAGAACTGTGTTGGTTTTTAATTGGCCCACTTCTCCATGCCATAAATCGTTTGAACATAGATTTTTCTCTTCTGAAACATGACAATACGTGAATCCAGAGTAGGTCGTACCAAAGTCGAATCCAATCACGACGCGAATACTATCCTCGACCTCGAAGAAGCTCTCAGGTTTCGGGATTTCTTCTTTTAATTCCGGACCTTAAATAATATATGAAAAATTTACTTTTAATTAAGTAATCCAATTGATTTTTCTGATAATCATGCATACTTTTCTTATATTTTCTCCATGACCGTTCAGAAAATTTTTTATTTATTTCATCAGCATCAAGCTGTTTAAGTTGCTGCATCCTTCAAAGGTTTAAACTTTTGTCGATATTTTTTTAAAGCACGATATTTGATCGTTTATATAGATTACGCATCCATCATTTAGTGCTTTTTAACATTTATCAAGTCGGAGTCTTAATTAATCTTATAATGCTCTTGTAAGAACTTTATTATTACATTAAAATTGGAAAAAATACAATGGAATTAATTGATGCCATTATATGAACTGGAATAGAGTTCATTTCATATCAAACAATCGAATAAAGAAAAAGATTTATCGGTATTTATGTTTAGCAAAGATTCCTTTTGTAATTCCTACCAAAAATAATATTTTTAATAATACCAAATAATTTTATCATTCAGTTGTAATTTGACCAAAATTCATTATTTTACTTTGTAATTTTTTTTTTATGAATGAAGGTTTTTAAGGTAATTTTCCTACAGATCAATTTGTTGAACAAAAATGTGAAATTAGAATTATCAAAACATATCAATCCAAAAGGATAATTTATTGGACTGTTTTGCCTATTGGCATTAATTTCTCATACTTATCACGTGAATAACGAAATAAAAATTTATTTAAAGAATTTTTAGTTCAGAAAATAATATTTTTCGCAATGATATATGATAACATTCATTAAATATACTGTATATATGTCGGAAAAAGAAAGAAAAAAAATCTAATCATCCAAGCTAAACTTAAAAGTGGTTCTATAGCTTTGTCCAGTCAGTTTGTTCTTTGAATTAGCAATAATTTCCATTTGTCCAAAAGTTAACCCAAATAATACAGGTCTATCAAGACCTGAACCAGGAAGATCAATTTGAAGTTCGCCTATAAGTTTCATACCAGGATCATCACAGTATACCCCATCATACTCTCGAGTATAATATACGCTATAAAGTATTTCTGTTTGATCAGCATAACATGGATGATAAGTCCTCGTAACTTCATTATTGACTTCCATTTTAGTACCACGTTTAGCCAAGCAATCGTACTTTTCAATATATCCACCATGGGTCTTTCTGCTTATGGGATCGCCGTTTTTCTAATAAAGACGTGATTTTTATTTTTAATTTTATTTACTTTTAGAAATTCAAGTTTAGTAAATTTAGTATCAAAAATACATACCCATACAGATCTTACTTTAATTCCATAAGTATATTTAAGGATCCTTGAAGAAATTATACATTTCAAATTATCATCATTCCCTAAATTATTCAGGTTATTTGATCTTATAGATAATCCATAAATTGCTGCTCCACGTGCGATTGCTGCCATAGGTTGAATAGGGACCGAAATATTATTTACTCGATGAAGAAATTCTTCTTTAATTCTTTTTTGTAAATATTTGGATTCACTAAACCCCCCAACTAAGAACATTGCTGAGCAAGTTTCTTGAGCGTTATCAAGTTGAGCTTTTATCATACGAAGTATATTTTGGACGACAGGCTCGAATATCAATTTCATGGTTTCTAAATCAATTTCAACTATCCAGTCGGCATTGTCTAAAGTTTTTCTGATATTCTCGTCAGTAATATATTGTTTTAATTCAGGCACAGTATCCTGAATATCCAACTCGTATAGGAAACTTGGATCATCTCCCGTAAAAGGAAGTTTGCCAGATTTACAAAATTGTTGAATCAGATATTGCATTTGTCCGTAATGTTTCTCTTTGAATGAATCCATAGGTTTGTCTCCGACTATTTTTCGCAAGTATTTAAGAAATTCATCATCAACGAAAGTGCTTCCGCAAAAATCACCGGCTCTTTCGGTTACCTCTCCCAATTGTTTATCGTTTATTAATTTACGCGTCGTCAAATCAACTGTGCCACCGCCACAGTCAACTATCATGAAATTAACTAATGTAATAAAAAAAACAGGTAATGAACTCATGAATCTGTAACATGATTGCAAAGGTAAAAAAAAAAAAAAAAAAAAAAAAAAAAAAAAAAAAAAAAAACCGAGTTTGATTTTAAAAACATACTTCCTGATTGTTCAAGAGCATGTTCTCTAAGAATATTTTCCATACAATATACAGCCGCAGCTTCAGCTTCAATAAAAAAAAAAAAAAATGAACATCTAAATTATGAAATTTAAATGAAATTATTTTCCGTTAAGGGTACTTACGTTCCGTAGTGAATTGCAGGTTCGTCGAACATTCCTCTTTGATCAATCCTGCATTATACGCGCAAATTCTCATAATTGCTTTTGACTTTTCGGAAAATTCTGCAGGAACGGTAAGAACCAAAAGAACGTGTTTAAAGTAATCGATTTTTGGCCATCGTGTAGTAACCGTGTCTTTAATTACCTTTAAAAAAAATTTTTTATTCACATGTGAATAATTCAAAATACATAATACATATAATATTCAATGTGAAATGATGCGTACTTTTCCAATTTCTCTAAAATAATCGGTAATCGCTTTCTTGTAATCAATCGGAAGGTTCGGTTTAAAATTATCTAATATATCTCCTAGATGCAACTTGAACAATTCGACGGGTTTATTTTCTTTCCTATTTGTATCTCGACGATTTGGCTTTTTGGCTAAAGCTGGAGCACCCCATAATTTTACTTGTTTGTATTTGTCATCATATTGAAGAACTGTGTTGGTTTTTAATTGGCCCACTTCTCCATGCCATAAATCGTTTGAACATAGATTTGTCTCTTCCGTAACATGACAATACGCGAATCCAGAGTAGGTCGTACCAAAGTCGAATCCAATCACGACGCGGATACTATCCTTGACCTCGACGGAGCTTTCAGGTTTAGAGATATATTCCTTTGATTCGGGATCTTAAAAATGTGTGAAAAAATAATTTTTGATTCAATTAAGCAACCCAAACGCTTTTATTTTTTTTCCTTGATAATCATACTGTACCTTTTTTTTTGCTCCATGAACGTTCAGAAAATCTTTTATTTATTTCACTAGTGTTGAGTTCATTAACCTTTTTCATCTTTTTAAAATAAATTATTTTGATTTTTATGCATCGGTATCTCTTTAGAACATGGCATTTGATCGTTTTATATAGATAACGCGCATGTAAACATGTTATATCGATTATCTTTATCTTTATTCATTAAATTCCGTATTCTTTGAAGTCTTTCTCGTGAGAAGATTACTAGATAAAGTGTAAACCGGACCGGTCATTATACTCCGAAAATCTCGAATTGGGCATATGAAAAATTTATTATTCATTGTTCAAAATAAGAATGCTAAAATTAGGAATAAGATAATGAAGAATGAACAACATAACTTTGTATTTATCAAATTACGTATTTAATTAAGTAACAAAACAAAGAATCAGCTGTTGCCGTGATAAAACAATGTTTAACAATGAATTTTGGGTTTTCATTTTATATAGAGTTAAGATGGACGTATTTTTTTTCCCACATGTGATTGACAAATGTGATAATTGGGAATAGCTGAAGCCAATATAGGAAAAGAAATAATCAATCTTTACCGACCGGTATTTAAGCCTATCATAATGAAACATTTTAGGAAGAATAATGAAAAAGGATCATTTTTAACCAAAATTCATTGTATCGCAGAGGTTATCATCGTACATTGTTATACAAGTTACTATTCCTTTTTCGAATTATTGATAAATACACAAAAAATTTCAACAAGCAAGATTAAAAAATTTTCCTTTACTAACAATAAAATATGCCACAAGAAGATTATGATCCTATGGATGTCGATATATGGCAAATATGTAATAATAACCGCACGTTATTATTACACAACGCGCAACAAACGTATGAAGTACGTTTGCCTAATTTTGATATACCTAACATTGATTTAATAAAATTTGACAGCAAATCAAATGAAGAAAAACAAATGTTAATTGAGGAAAATAAACGAATTTCAACGGAAAATGAACAAATTAAAAGTTATCTTGGTGATCAGTGTAGACAAATTGACGTCTTGAATAATCAAATCAATAAGTTAAAACAAGATATTCAAGATAGGGACGAAGTTATTTGCGAACTAAAACCTTATAAAGATATTTGTTCAACTTCTGAAAGAAAAATTGAATCTTATGAACGTGATTATATGAGAAATAAAGATGAAATACAAACTTTACAAAATAATCTCAACAGTAAAGATCATGAAATTAATGAGTTAAAAGTAGAAATATTGTCATTAGATGAGGTAATTAATGAATTAACAGAAAATAACAAAACCTTAAAGGATGATATTAAGGATCTTAAAGAAAAGAACAAAACTTTAAATGATGAAAATGGCGAATGGCAAAATGTTATTGGCAAAGCAACAACCTTTTCTTTAAGTGATGATGATGAAAATCACACCGTTCAGCTTGTAAAAGATATTACAACATTACAAAGTATGATTGAAAATTATGTTGGAACTTTGAGAAAGGTTGACGTAGACTTTGGCGAAGTAAATAGACTATTACGCTGCCATGGGTGTAAAGTAGAAGTAAAATCTACCCAAGAAAATGACTTACCACTCGTAAAAGCTGTTTTACAGTGTTATGTTTTGGATGAGCTAATTGATAATGCGAATTCTCTTTTTAAAAAAAATGATTGTTTGGAAACTAAAATTTATAATCAAACTAAGAGTATCCTTGATTTATTAAATCAATGTTTAAGATCACGTGATGAAACCAACGAGATAACAAATGCTTTTCCTATTAAACTACGTCAACAAATATTTGGATTTCTTGGTAATCTTGGATTTGCAGATACAAATGATCGAATACATGACGTTACAGATCGATTAAACGATTCAATTAACAAAATTCGAATGTTCAAAAGTCCACAAAAGAAAACATTACACAATGATATGGCAACTAATTTAGTACGAGAATTTATTAGAATATGTTATTTCCGCTTAAGGGTTCAAGAACCAATTCCCGTACTAAGGTGGTTTTCACATGATGAGAAAATAGATCCTAAACTTATGAAAGGGAGATGGGACGATGAAGATGAAGATGAAGAAAATGCCGATGATTTATTTGTAGAAATTTGTTCCTTCCCTCTTATAGTTTCCAATTATGGAAAAAACAATCAAAAACTTTATACACGTGCTAAAGTCATACACAAATTTAAAATTTCACATGATTCTAATAAAAACTTAATTGCTACTTCCTTTAATACTATTAAAAATTTTGTTAATGATAACATTTATTCTTTTAAGTCTACGAATGTAGACGCTAATAATTTAAAGAACAACGACCCGTATAACAAAACTCAAAAAGCTGTTAATGATCCAAATGATGAAGTTGACAATCAAAATGGTAAAAATGTTAGTCAAAATGATGATGAATTTTTAAAAACCAATCAAATTGAAGAAGTTAAAAGTGGTGATGTTTTAGATAATAATCAAATTGATAAAAGTGGAAATGGTGAAGGGGATAGATATAGTAATAAAAATGGTAGAGGTAAAGACAAAGATGGAGGTAACAACAAAAATGGTATAAATGGAGATAACAATCAAAACGGTAAAAATGGAAATAACAATAATCGAAATAGTAAAGGTGGAAGTAACAATAGAAATGGTAATGATGGTAATTATAAAGCCAATAATCAAAATGGTGAAGTTGATGGAAATAATAATCAAAATAGAGGTGGAAATAACAATCCAAATGATAAAGATGGAAGTGAAAATCCAAATGATAAAGATGGTAACAACAATCGATATGGTAAAGGCGGGGATAACAATCAAAATGGTGAAGGTGGAGATAACAATCAAAGTGATATAGTTGGAAATAACAATCGAAATGATAAATATGGAAGTAACAATCAAATTTATAAAGGTGAAGATAACAATCAAAATGGTAAGGGTGGATATAACAATCGAAATAATAAAGTTGGAAGTGACAAAGATGGTGGCAACAATCGATATAGTAAAGGTGAGGATAACAATCAAAATGGTAAGGGTGGAGATAACATTCGAAATGGTAAGGGTGGAGATAACAATCGAAATAATAAAGTTGGAAGTGACAATCCAAATGATAGAGATGGTGGCAATAATCAATATGATAAAGGTGGAGATAACAATCAAAATGGTGAAGGTGGAGATAACAATCAAAGTGATATAGTTGGAAATAACAATCGAAATGATAAATATGGAAGTAACAATCCAAATGATAGTGATGGTAGCAACAATCGATATGGTAGAGATAACAATCAAATTTGTAAAGATGGAAATAACTCTAGAAATGATAAAGGTGGAAGTAACAATCGAAATGTTAAAGATGGAGATAACAACCAAAACGGTAAAGGTGGGGAGAACAATCAGAATGGTAAAGGTGGAGATAACAATCAAAGTGGTATAATTGGAAATAACGATCCAAATTATAGGGATGGTGACAACAATCCATATGGTAAAGATGGAATTAATAATAAAAATGGTATGGGTAAAGTTAACAAACAAAGTGGTAAAGTTAAAAATAAAAATAAAATTAGTAAAGGTAGAAATAGCAAATGGCATAAATGAAAGATTGGACGGACGTAAATTTAGAAATTTAGTTTATATGTAATCATCATTATTATCTCTATTGTACATTTGTGGATTTGCTATTAAAATCGAGTTCGAACATATATGATCCGTAACGTGATTTTAATAGCTTACCTTCAATTTATTCTAAAAATATTAAATAAAATAAACAAATTATTTATTTACTAAATCATAAAATGATAGGAATCTGCTTGAAAAGATCAAAAATGAGTTAATGGTTTACTTAAGAAGAGCGTAATTAAAAAATAAATTTGACTTTTTTCTGGCAGTCCTTTTTATTGCAAATTTCAATATGAACTTAATAATTACAATATAATAAAAATGCGCGTCGTATATTGATCTAAAAATCGAAACTCATTCGTATAGAATTTTTCAAGATAGCATAACATCAAAATGATATTGTTTCAATTTTTTAAATTTATTAAATACGGTATTAAATAATTTTATCATCAAGGTTAAGTTTAAAAGTAGCTTTATAACTTTGTCCAGTCAATTTGTTCTTTGAAGTAGCGGTAATTTCCATTTTTCCAAAAGTCATTCCAAATAATACGGGTCTATCAAGACCTGAACCAGGGAGTTCGATATGAAGTTTTCCTAAAAGTTTCATACCAGGATCATCACAATATTCTGCATCATACTCACTAGTACAATATAAATGGTGAACCATCGTTGTTTGGTCAGGATAAATTGGTAGACGAGAACATGTAATTTCTTGATTGATATTCATTTTAGTACCGCGCCTGGCCAAGCAATGAAAACTTTCAATAAATCCATCTAGTGTTTTCCTATGTATGGGATCTCCTTTTTCCTAAATAATAAGTAATGTTACAAAGAAAATATTAGGTATTCTCATAAAAATAACAAAATAATCTTACCCATTTAGTTGTTGTTTTAATTCCATAAGTATATTTAAGGACCCTTGAAAAAATAACACATTTCAAATCATCATCATTCCCTATATTATTCAGGTTATTTGATTTTATAGATAATCCATAAATTGCTGCTCCACGTGCGATTGCTGCCATAGGTTGAATAGGAACTGAAATATCCTTTACTCGATGAAGAAATTCTTCTTTAATTCTTTTTTGTAAATATTTGGATTCACTAAAGCCCCCAACTAAGAACATTGCAGAGCAAGTTTCTTGTACGTTATCTAGTTGAGCTTTTATCATAAGAAGAATTTTTTGGATGACAGGTTCAAATATCAATTTCATGGTTTCAAAATCAATTTCGACTACCCAGTCGTCTAAAGCTTTTATGATATTCTCATCAGTGATATATTGCTTTAATTCAGGAATAGTTTCCTGAATATCCAACACATATTGAAAATTTGGATCATCTCCCGTAAAAGGAAGTTTGCCAGATATACAAAATTGTTGAATCATGTACTGCATTCGTCCATAATGATTCTCTACAAGTGAATCCATAGGTTTGTCTCCGAGCTCTTTTCGTAAATATTTAATAAATTCGGCATCGATAAAAGTACTTCCACAAAAGTCACCGGATCTTTCGGTTATTTCGTCCAATTGTTTATCATTTAATAATTTACGAACCGTTAAATCTACTGTGCCACCACCACAGTCGACTACCATGAAATTAGCTGTGTAAAAGGTGTAAAATTAGTCAATTTATTCGGTATTTCTTAAACAAAGGTTAAATAACGAACAAATTTGATTTCAAAAAACATACTTCCCGGTTGGTCAAGAGCATGTTCTCTAAGGCTATTTTCCATGCAATATACAGCTGCAGCCTCGGCTTAAATAAAGAAAGAATAATACATACGTAAATCAGTTGTTGGAATAAAGTATATAACTGTTAATGGTACTCACGTTCCGTAGTGAATTGCAAGTTCGTTGAACATTCTTCTTTGATCAAACCTGCATTATACGCGCATATCCTCATAATTGCTTTGGATTTTTCAGAAAATTCCGCAGGAACGCTAAGAACCAGAAGAACATTTTCAAAGTAATCAACATTTGACCATCGTGTAGTAACCATTTCTTTAATCACCTTAAAAAAATTTCGCGCATATAAGCAAAAAATTGAAAATTCATAATAATAAATACTGTATAATAAATACAAACAAACAATTTTTAATCGTACCTTTCCGATTTCTCTTAAATAATCAGTGATCGCTTTTTTATATTCAACTGGAAGTTTCGGTTTAAACTTATCCATTATATCTCCCAAATGCAATTTAAACAATTCAACGGGTTTATTATCCTTGTTAATTTGATTCCTTTTCCGACGATTTGGCTTCTTAACTAAAGCCGGAGCACCCCATGAGATTACATTATTATATTCATCGTCATATCGAAGAACTGTGTTGGTTTTTAGTTGGCCTACTTCTCCATGCCATAATTCGTTTGAATATGGATGATTTTTTTCTTTAGCATGACAATATGCGAATCCAGAGTAGGTGGTTCCAAAGTCTAATCCAACTATGACACGAACATTATTATCTGAAGAAATCTTCTCCGCGTTAAGATTTTCGACATCATTTTTCAATGCTTGAATAAATAAAAAAAAATTTAGTTTCGTAAGTACATTAGATTAGTTTTGCATGTGTTGTCTTTATTTACATTTATTCATACTCCATGAACGTTCAGAGAATTTCTTATTTATATCGTGGTTAACCTTTCGAGATCCCATTGCTTACGAAATTAAAAAATGAATCTGCAATAAAATTTATACGTATTAATTAATTTAAGTCAGGATGTTATTTTTATTTTTTTGGTATTTCGGGGGATTGTGGTGATTTTATAGAGAATTTTCTTTATATTAACAAATTTAATTTTAATTTTTTAAAAAAAAACGAAACCGACCTGATCGTCAGTTTTTTTTTTTTAATTTCTCGGAAAGCTTTAAGGGAAATTTCATTATCTCTTTATTCGATATTATCACTAAATTCGATAAGGAAGTATTTCTGTAATCTAAAAAATATTCCGCGCATTTTTCATACTAAATTAGTAAAAAGACAATTAAAAAAAATTATAAATGGTTTCTAAATTTTCCCAAATAATGAATGAGAAAATAATTATAAACAATTCCGGATAATGAAATATTAAATTTGGAAATTCCATACATAACGTATGTGAAAATATGCATTTAGAGAATATATATTTAATGTAGAATCAGAACTGACTTATTTACTTCACGCTCAAAGAAATGGCTTCAACAAATGATATTCGTGTAGTGGCTGCTATTGGTATATACGATTTTTATTTTTTTAATAAATTTTAACGAAAATAAAATCATTTATAAATTTTTTTTTTTTTTTTTTTTTTTATTATTATTATTACAAAAATTATCCCTTTAAATGTGATGTGTTGTTTCGTGTTTAGATTTTGGAACTACGTATTCGGTAAGTTCTTGTTAGAATCATTCGCAGAAATAAACTAATGTCCTAAATGCCTTGCGCCTATAAATAATAGGGATTTGCATACGCACATAAGAAAAGTCCCGATGACATATTGTGTCAAGATTTTGAAGGAAGTTTCAAAACGCCCACCGTACTTCGATACGATGAGAGTTTTAACGTAACCTCGTGGGGATTTCCGGCGTTATCAGATCGAACATTTCGAAAATCGAAAGAATCAAAGTCGGTAGAACTATTTAAATTGCATTTAGGAAATATCGAAGAAAAACCATATTTGCCAGAAGGGTTGGATTATAAGAAAGCCATTATAGATTATTTACATGAAATGGGTAAATTGTTGAAAGAAAAGCTGAGTAGATATAAGTTCCTGGAATTTTTTAATCAAGTTATTATCATCTTGACGGTACGTAAGAACGTTAAGTTATTTTGAAATAAAGATTTTCCCGTCTCGTGATTAAAAATTTTCGCAATCGATATATGATATATAGGTACCTGCAGAATTCGATAATAATGCAATATCAATCATGCGTGAATGCGCTTTTAAAGCTGGATTAACGAATGAAAAGAACAGTAGGAATTTAAAGTTTACTACGGAACGTAAGGGATATCACAGATATATTTGATATATGTTATGATTTCACGTGATATAAAACTAAAATGTCGTGTAATCCGTTAATATGTTAGCCGAAGCTGCTGCGATTCATTGTATGAAGTTTCTAAGTGACAATGGAATAACATCGGGAGGTATGTATCATTTGAACCGATCTTTTTTTTTATCAACATCCGATCAGCTTTAACCGATTACATCTCTTTTATTATAGATTCGTTTATGACAGTTGATTGTGGTGGCGGGACAGTAGATTTAACGACGCGACAATTTTTATTTGACAACGCACTCGGTGAAGTAACCGAACGTACTGGAGATTTTTGTGGTTCTAGCTACGTTGATCAAGAATTCATTAAATTCCTTGAGCAAAAAGTCGGAAAGTCTGCAATTGAACTTTTAAAGAAGAATCATTATCGTCAACTGCAGTGTTTAATCCAAGAGTTTTGCAAAAAATTTAAGCTACCTTTCACAGGATATGAAAAAGATTTTAAGTTTACTGAAATAGATCTTGGAGGTAAACATTCTTGATAAACACGTACTTGGTTTTCTATTTTGATTATATAATTTATTTTTTTTTTTTTTTTGAATTTTATCATTTAGATCATTGTCCAGAATTGAAACAATATTGCAAGGATGATGTTTTTATGGAAATGGAAGAATTAGATTGGCTTATTGAACTTACTATTGATGATGTTCGAGCCATGTTTGATCCTATTATTGCAAAAATTTTCCAATTAATTCGAGGTCAATTACGTTCAAATGATAAATGTTCAGCAATTATTATGGTTGGCGGGTTCAGCGAATCGAAATATTTACAAAAAAGGATTAGAGAAGAATTCCTAGATTTTGTGCAAAATATTTCGTTTCCAACTAATCCAATTTTGGCAGTAGTTAAAGGGGGTAATTATTTTTTTTTTTTTTAAAAAAAAAAAAATGCTTATTATCTGAATATTTTAATCTAATCCTTTTACAATATCGAATGATTTTAAAATTATTTCACTAGCCGTTCAATTTGGAATGAAGGAACACGTAATTACAAATCGTGTTTTAAAATGGACATACGGTATTGATGATGATTATTATTATACCTTTTAAAATCCGCAAATGTTTTTTTACAAATTGCCTTTTTTCCAGGAACTGATATTGCCCGTAAATGGGAAGCAAACGACCCGATATCCAGAAAATTACCAAATGGTATGATAAAAGTATTCCATCCTTTGGCCAAGAAAGGATCACATCTCACAAGTAAAGATGAAGTGACAACAGTATTTAAACCTTATTCTCTTTTTCAAAGAAAGGTTTCATTTAATATGTATCATACATCACAATTTGATGCCAAATATTGTGATGAAGATGATGATGTAAGATTGCTTGATAATTGGGAAATTGATATACCAAGATTAGATGATTTTGATGATCAAATCATTTCGCTCACTCTAAATTTTGGAAGCATAGAAATTTTAGCCAAAGCCGAAAACCAAAAAACTGGTCAAAAATACGAAATTAAATTTAATTGTGGATAATTTCAAATTTTGTCATTTTTGTAATTTATATAATTTTATTATTATCGTTATATATTTTCATACAATTTCTTTATCAAATAAAAATGATTTTTTTATAATCGGTCGTGAAAATTTATCATTTTATTATGACACCACTTAAGATGCAATCACTTGCAGCATATTATTTCTTGTTGATTTCCAAATTAGTATCACATCTACCGTTAATGTTTTTTCAAGTAAATTCAGCTAATAATAATTTACTCCACTATGCCACGGTTAGTTAACAGTTGAACAATTTGTTACAACTTGAGTTTAACATATCATTTTAAAAGTTTGAGGTACTTACGTTCTATATAAATTGCAAGTCCTTTGAACCTTTTTCTGTAGGACAATCCCACATTATACATAATATAATTTACCGTACTTGAAAATAGATTATGTTGAAATTGAACCAACCAAAAAAAAAAAAAAAAGAAATTCAATCTATAAATCCTGTACCATAATAGATTTAATTTTTACATATCGCTAGGAAAGAATAAACGAATCAACGATAGAGAAGGTTAATGACCTAGATTGATTCCTCGTATTAGAAGAAATTACTGCGAATCCAGTTTAATTGAGGATTAATTATTCACGCAATAATTGCTTGCAACCCGGTTTGGTTTCTCGTGCAATTGAGGAATTTTTTTCACTAAAAAAAAAAAGTGAAAAAAAGTCAGTAACCTAGAAAGGTTTGCCTTCGCAAAGGAAAAATGGTAAGATGTCTTTCAACAATAAGGGAGTTTACGAATGATCCACACGTATACGTCCTCAGGTCTCCAAATAAGGGAAGCGCCTTCAATCCGGAAGGAGTACCCTCGACAAAGGGACGGTTTGGCTTCGCCATTAGATTGCGAACGAGGAACTTACATTTAGCATAGCCCGTCGATTTCTCACGATATAGACAGGAAGAAGGAGTAGGGCTTGGAGTTTGAAGTTTGTAGGAGAAAAGAGGATGAATATCTTGAACGATAATTTAACTTCACTAAAAACATTCTTTTTCTTTTTCTTTTATTTCCTGTAGTTGTGAGTTGTAAGAAAAATAGTTTTCGCTTTGTAATCCGTTACGTAATTTCTTACATTCAAAAATGAAAGGAACCTCGGAGTCAATACGCCTATGATACAACCATAGCAGAACTTCTACTTTGCTTGAATGAAAAGTCTTGTGCAACTGTTGTTTTCTTGGAACCTTTCGTATTTGTGTCCAAGAATTTCATAAAGATTTACCGGTGACAAAACCAACCGACGGTACAATAGGACCATGAATAACAGCCATTAAACGTTCGCTTGTGAATTTGTTTCATGTTCATTCGTATAAGTTCTTCATCAGATTTTTGCACACTTCCTTCCAACTTTTATGTAATTCTATAAAAGTAAGTGTCTAATGACTTTACTTTCAGAAAGTATTAGGTTTAGGAGTGGCATTTATGATCAAGCAACTTTCATCTTAATTTTGAGAAACTATGGCTTGAAAAAATTCAACAATTGCTAGTGTGGATCTTTGCACTTTGCTCAAGTATAATCACTTTAGCAAAGACCTACTTTTGCGAGAAAAAAAGTCTAAGTAAAACGCGTTATCGATTAAAATGATTATTTTTGATTTGAAAAGTAGTTCATATAAATTAAAGAAAATAAAGCCACCAACCTTAGCTTGTTTCTGTAATAATATTGCCATTTCTCAGGCAATTACTCCACATATTTATTGTTAGTTTTGCAATTGAATAACACCGTCGGTTATATTTTTGATGATATCATGAACGAAATGGATATGAATTGTGAAATATTAATAAAAGAGGCAGTATTAGAAATTGAAGAGTAAAATAAGAGAATAAAAGTATTATACGTAATCATAACATTATAGAGAACTTTTTAACGAAACAACTTTTTTTTCTCCACTAAGGTTAAAATTAATAAAAATATTTAAAAAAAAATAAAACTATTGCTTGCAATAAAATTTTTAAAAATATATTCATAAAAAAAAATTTTTTCCATCATTAAAATTAGTTCTCGTTACATACTTTTTTTTTAAAAAAGGTAAAATTCATCATCGTTAAATAAATAATTTATTTAAATCACGCGTATAATAAAATAATTTTAAAAGGTTCGAAAATTAAATAATTACAACTTCTTATGAGTATTGTCGTTATGGATAGTG